ATAAAAAAAATAAAAAAATAAAAAAATAAATCCCCTTAAAATGACAACAGAGTTTTAAAATAAATAAATAAACAAAATAAAGAAAAAATTCAACACAATGCAAATATTGTAAAACACATGAATTTCCCTAACTGGGGGTGCCTGGGTGGCTCAGTTGTTAAGCATCTGCCTTTGGCTCCGGTCATGATCCCAGGGTCCTGGGATCAAGCCCTGCTTTGGGCTCCCTGCTCTGCGGGCAGCCTGCTTCTCCCTTTCTGTCTCCCTCTGCTACTCACCCTGCTTGTGCTCTCTCACTTGTTCTCACTCTCAAATAAATAAAAGCTTTAAAAAACAGATTTTCCCTAACTGATGATAGGTCTTCAATGTACAGGCACTTACTAAGCGTTGTGGATGCTGATACGAGAAATTACACAACTGACCTCTACGCCAGTAACACTTCGAACAGTTTTACTGAGAGCGGCGTCAGATATGTGCTGATACGTTCACATTCTCCCATGTAATTCCCCAAATACCAATGCCATACATTTTGAAGAGATTTTCCAGGATTAGGAAAACAGTTTACAGTCACAAATCAGAGCAAAGTAGATTTATAATATTGGCTGTGTTACTTATTCAATAAATACAGATTGAGAGATTACTGTGTTGCAGGTACTCTGCCAAGACCTGGGAGCAATGACAGACCTCCTCTCCGAGAGCTCATTCTGGTCGGGAGAAATGCCTGTCAGACAATGACAGGACGGTGTAACAGTAAGTGCCGTGACAAAGGCTTGCAGAGGGTGGGGCAGAGGAGAAGTCTCTGTACTCACACGGCGGTTTAATCAAATCTCGGTGCAAATCCAGTGTTTGTCTAATACAACTACAACTGCTGAAGACCTGCATGGCTCTCTGTGCTTACCACATAGCACTTTCCATACAGTAAGAGCCTAGATGGCACTAAAATGTTCTTCTAAAGAGCAAATTACACAGATTATTTTCTCTGCAGGAAAATTAACATTACAGCACCTACTATGATGCTGAGCACACAGCAAGCATTCAAATTAATTCATGAGGGCAGACACTTCCTCACATTCTGCTGCAATTTGGACAATGCGTGTGAAAGGCAGTTCTAAGAAGAGAAAACAAACAAACAAACATGAAAACTGCCAAACTCAGCCTCATCTGTTGACAATGCACCCAAAAGAAACTGTCAATCTACTAGCACCACAGTCTGAAATAAACGTTCAATGTGATCCAAGATGAGTACCAAACTTCAGAGTGGGCACGGCCAATTCTCACCTCCTTGAGGCGTACCCCCTTCTCCCCTCGGGTGGCACTCAGCAGCAGCTTTCTGAGCTTTTTGTCGTCCACACCCTTTGGGAGGTTGTGCAGGCAGAGCCTGGTCTGGGACACAAAGATATTCTGGTCCTTGAGTTTCTGATGCTTCAGCAGCTCAAACTGAAAGAACAACAAATTGTTAATACAATCCACCCTTTAAAATTGCAGGTTCATAATTCTCCAAAAGCAAAGAACTGTGACCACCACCCCCCATCCAATAACCACACATATGGACAAAAGGAGGGAAATCACCCACCTTCAGCCTTATGATGCCTAGCACAGGGAAAGAAAGGTTCAAAGAGGCAAGATGGTGAATAGTTGGTAAGATCATGGGCTCTAGATTCAGACTAAATTGGAAATCCATCCCTAACTGGAGAAGTTACATGAAATTTTTTAAGCCTCAGTTTTTCCCCTCTACAAAGTGGAACTGTAGGTCAAAATACCAATCTCTCAGCACAGATGTAAGGCTGAAACGAGGTAATATACAAAAAAAAAAAAAAAATCCCAAACTCAAAACCCGGCCCAAAGCAAATAATAAATAATATTGTGCTTACCATCTATGCCTAGTCCTTATCTGCCCACCAATTCAAGCTATTTATCTAGTCCTTCCAAAAGGAAATGGAATTTGTTTAAAGACTACTTGATAGAATGTTGTCTCAACTCTGCCACCTTGAGGCAAAAGACGGTCCATGACCACAGAAATGAATTTAGCTTCTGGAGCATTGGACTCAACTATGCTGCACAAAACACTAGTCCCAGGGCAACGTCTGCTAAAGTGAGAGGGTAACATTCTTCTCCCAGTGTGTTTTTTAAAAATCAGGTTGGTAGAAAAAAGTTTAAATTAAATTTTTTCTTTTACCAAGTCTTATTTCTGCTGTTCCTTATCTGGTAAAGGTACTAACAAATCACAAAATAAAGATACTCTGGAAATGAATATTAAAGGGTTATTTGAAGAGGCTCTCATGCCTGAGCTCAACAGTATGATTTTTCTCCCAGGAAAAGCTGTGCCTGTTGTGAATTATAATGCATATAATCTGAGCTTTTTGCTAGAAAAGTTTGTTCTAAGGGAAAATTAAAATGTGTCACTATCATGTTGTGATCAGAAAGGGGCATACAATGCCCACCAAATACCATGATTTCCAGATGCTCACTACCAAAAAAAGTTGTGAACACGAGAGTAGAAACTGTATACAGGAAAAACACACTGCTTCTTGGTGTCATTATATTCTCATCTCTCTTCTTCATCTTCTGTACCTTCAAGCTCCAAAGCTCATTCTCTTCATGGTCATGCCTCTTTATCATTCTAGGCTGGCTTATTTGAAAGTAGGCTACTTGGGCTAAAGTTAAAATTATTTCGAATGAACACTACTAAGCAGCAAAGAAACTCAATGATATCAGTTATCAGTGGAAACTCCCATGACATGGAGTTTTCCTAAGATGATTTTACAATCTGGACATAGCCCCCTACCAAAAAAGGACATCTTAACTCTTCCTCCTAAGACCCACATCTACCTCCTTCCCTACTAACTACAGCCCATTCTGATCTTCCTTTCTTAGGTTATTCTGCCTTTACACTGACACCTAATTATATATAGCCGTAGCCTCTAAGTGCCTATCGCATTTTGTAGAAGCATACTATTTGGCAAACATTTACTGCTGAGCATTGGGAAATTAAAGAATAAGACCCAGTCCTTATAATGGCATACAACGCTCACATAATATGATGTACAATGTTGGGTTATTTGCTGTTTTACCCGTGTGCTTCCCTCTAACAAGACTGTAAGCAAGCAGGGTCTGTGACTGATGCTTGGCTCTCTGACAGGCACCTCCAGCATTGAATAGCTATTATTTATTGATTTATAATAAGTCATGCAGAACTTGAAGGCTGGTGCCTAATCTACCCACCCTTTCTCTTTTGGCCATATCAGCAGCGCTCACACCCTCGGCAGCCTTAGTCCCAGCACGAATCACTGCAAAAAGAGGGAAAAAGGCCAAGACATCAGCAAAGGAATTTTCACTGAGCAATAAGAGGAATGTGATTTGAATGATGCAAGCTCTTTGTACAGGGCCCAGAGGACTATGCTGGCCAGGACATAGTGGCATTTGGGTAGGTCCAGAAATAGGCTACAGGGCTAAGTTCTCAGCTCTGCGCTGCTCTCAAGGACTAAAACTGAACATTTTGTGAATTTGTTCCTCTTCTCCTTCCCTCCCCTCAAAAAGCATCATGTGCGTATGCCCAACATCAGATGGAAAGGCCTAGAAGAAGTTCTGAAAACAAGTACATTTTAGGTATTTGGGATACAAAAATGCTCCACCTATACCCTGCCCTTGGAATTTTAGTGTTCCTCGAGTACTTGGGGGTCAGTACTAGGCAGTGAGTTAAGCCAACCTGAAAACAGCCACCTGGCCAAACAGAGGCCTAGAACCAAAGGCTAAGAGCCTTACACCACCAGTCTGGGCTGTGCGGCTGTGCAGCAGGTAGGCTGACAAATACTGTATGACCTAGAGGAAGGGATTCTTCGGTTTTGTTTTGTTTTTTAATTGAAGCTAATTTCTGATTATCCTTCTGACATTAAGGGAAAGGTACTGGGTGCACATTTTAAATCTATGAATAATTCAGAAGGGTAATTTTAGTCATAATTTTCAACTCCTTCAGAAATACTATCAGAAATCATGACAAGAAGCAAAGGTAATTTGAACTTTTCCTCCCTCTTTGCCCTGCTAATCCTCTGACCTAAAGGTCTCAAGGCAAGCAGGCAGAAAGGAGAATGGGACTGGTTAACCGACAAACTGAGTGAAGGCTTCCTAACAGAAAGACCCATCTGCTCGAGTGGAATAATAATGTAACGCTGTTGAAGAGGACATGTGGGTTTTGAATGTGAAACATGCCCCCAGACATAGCGTTGCTGGTCACTGTCATGGCCCAGGGCCCGCGGGTCAGAAGCCGGGCTCACCCCCCCTTCCACTACTCACAGCCTTCTCGGGCCAGGTAGAGGCTCCGGGTCCCAGTAGGCTTCTTCACCTTCTTTGTCTGCAGCTTTGCAGCCTCATCACGGGTCACTGCCAAGTCGACCCTGAGCTGCCGGCCATCCAGTTTAAGCCCACCACCCTGTAACAGATTGCAACCCTCTCCCTTAAAATTCACAATGAGTAGAGACAAAGCCCCCAACAAGGAATGCCAAGGAAAGGGAAAACAGCAAATCCCAATTATGCTATGGAACCCAACCCACAGGATGTTTTAGCCCAGGTGGCTGCACGTGGACTACTGAGCCTAACATCTAGTATAGCTGTGCAAAAGACCATGTGTATACTGAGGGCAATTGGTAGCAATTTATTTTATGGGAATTGATTAGGCCCAAAGTAGGCCCAAATTGAGGAAAATTGATCTATATAGAGCCAATTTTATTAAATTCTAAAGAAAGCTAATGAAATGGTAGTATAAACTCTACTTAAGAGAATTTAAGAGATAATGACAATACAGGATAACTTATCTCAAAACACTATACACTTGCTTATAGAAGACACAGAAAACTCCATCACCCATACATTTTTTCTCATTGACTCCACTTTACAGATGACCTTAATCCCTTCTTGTCCCAACCTTTCATGTCATCAGCCTATGACTGAGGCTGACATACAGACAGTGATTAATAAACATTAGATATATTATTATACCTGCTTCCTCACTTATAAAATAGGTATAATAATTGATCTTTTTTTTTTTAAGTACACTCCATGCCCAGTGTGGAGCCCAACACGGGGTTTGAACTCACAACCCTGGAGATTGAGACCTGAGCTGAAGTCAAGAGTCAGACCCTCAACCGACTAAGCTACCCAGGCACTCCAATAGGTATAATAATTGTAATTACCTTACATACCCCTGCAGAACTGACATAAGGATTAAATAAGGTAATACATGTAAAGCTGAGTGCCTAACACACACCAAGTGCTCAATAAGTGTTAGCTTTATTATTATTATATTATTGACAGTACTAAAAAGCCGGGCATAAACAGCAGATGCTGGTGTTCGGAGCCACTATGCCCTAAGTTAAGGGGTAAAAGAAATGTCCTCCTTACCTCAATCTCTGGAGAAGCAGCTTCAAGGCATTTCTGAGCTGCTTCTTGAGTCATGAACTGGGCAAATGCACAACCTGCACAGAGAAACAAAATTAAGCGAGATGCCCAACCCCTATGGCCCACCAGGATGCCAAAGATGACGCTACAAATGGCGGGCTGACACAGAGTGGAAGGGGGAGCAGCGTCCTTCTGTTAGGGGCTAGGAGACAGGCACTGCGCCAGGCACTGAAGGTTCAAAGATAGATGGGACATGGGCTTACAATGAAATTTTACTATTACTTCATCTTTTCCAATGCTTCTTAGAACTTTAGTCTCATCGTTGCTCTCCTTAGTAAGAAAAAGCCACAAGATATGGTAGAGAAATTCCACTTAAATCAGCATTATTTACTGGCTTGCCTTTTAGAGGACTAAAAAATGAGGCAGGAACCACCTAACCTGAAATTAATTACAGATCTCACTGTCCTCAAAGGCACTTGGGAAACATCAGATATGGGCGGACTGGCCTCTTGCAGTCAAAGTCCCTGGCCTCTATCACACAAATACAGCAGTGAACCAGAAAGCCATAAGCTCAATTCTTGACTCATACCCTCAAATTTGCACAGGCTCACCTATCACTGGTTAGATGCAGAGCCAATCAATCCATCCTAATTTCTGCTATTGATAAAAAGCAGTTTTTATCAGCAAAGAAAAAAAGTTCACCTTACAGTAGACTCCAAAAAAGAAATACAAGTTTCATACTATTTTGTTAGTATTCCTTTATACAAATTTAAATATTCCCTCATATATGAAAAAAATGTCGTATTTCCTAGAGCTACTGGGACATTGACTGATCTTTTGTTCTCTAAAAGAATGAATGGCAGGGGCGCCTGGGTGGCTCAGTTGGTTAAGCGACTGCCTTCGGCTCAGGTCATGATCCTGGAGTCCCTGGATCGAGTCCCACATCGGGCTCCC